CTGTTAGAGAGAGAGAGAGAAAATAAGGTTACAGGAGGCAAGCACACGGCGATACATGACCACTCTCGTGAAGAATGATTACTGCATCAGTTCGTCACATAAGCTTCAGTAGTGAGATAGACCTGTGTTGACGAGTGATCAGCCGAACCGAATACGACAAAATATTGAGCATGTGTGTGTGTGTGTGTGTGTGTGTGTGTGTGTGTGTGTGTGTGTGTGTGTGTGTGTGTGTGTGCCCCTCTTTGTACGTATGTGCGTGTGCGTTCATGTGTTTGTGTATGTGTGTGTACACGTTTGTGTGATGTTGTTGCGGGGGTAGGGCGTCAGCTCTTAAGCCCTGCCTTGTTATATATAGATAGTTCTTTGTAATGACTCCATTCTCTCTGGGTTTTTTATCATATACACGTTTTCAATTTTGGATCGAGTTGGCTTCATCAATTTTTTTACCTAGTCAGCTTTTATTTATTTCTTACGCTGGCGAAGTAGTTTCTGACGTGTCTGAGACTCGTCAGAAACGAGTCTCAGACACGTTTCTATCGTCAGTTATCATTTAATGTTCGCTTGCTCTTTTCTCAAACATTGCTTCTCTGTCTACTTGGTTAATTCCTTGCAGGATTTTGCATGTTGTTATCATGTTTGCCCAGTTCCTTCTTTCCGCCGGTGAAGTGAGGTCCCAGTCCCCCATTTACTTCATAGCTTAGTAAACTTAGTTCAGGAACGATCCTCATAGCTAATGCACAGGACTGCCATGTCATCTACACAGAACCCCCTTGGAACCACACTCAGAATCCCTTAGCCCACACAAAAACGCACACAGGACCATGAACCCCCACCCCCTTTCACAGGACTCCTTGACCCACCTCACAGGACCTTCTTGCCGCCCCCCACTCCTCAATGGACCCCTTATCCCCGCTAGCATTACCCATTACACCACACCTCTCGTAAGGACCCATTTACCCCTCTCAGAACCCGCTGCCTCCCAAAGAACTACCAAATCCCCCTCTACACATTTAACCTCATTTAACCCCTTGACACGTTGACCCCCAGTCAAACGATCTTCTGACCCCATAATTTGACCCCTTGCCCCTCTTTAAGGACACACAACCTCTCACCCGAGACCACCTGCCCCAACCGTCTCCGCCTTCCAATTTCACATCACAGCGACAAGTATTATGGAGCAAGACAGCCATTAAGAATAGCATCTCTATTTGGAAAAAAAGACCTCAATGAAAATTCAAGCCAATTGAGAATTAAGTCAATGGATATTTAAGTGTCCACGTAATGGGAAGAGCCACTCAACTGAACGACTGGTGGATTTTCTCCACCACTTGATCCTCCTCATGATCCAGGCCAGTGACTATTCGTTCTCGATTTTCAATTATAATTTGGCCTTAAAAACCATACTTGTAATATTTTCTCTCCCCAGTCTGCCCCCTGCCCCGTGGGAAGGGGGGTTGGCGGGAAGTGGATGAGACTGTTCTTGCCAATATGGAGACAGCGGAATGCTCAATGTTAGGTCCGCTACGGGCTCACCATAGCCCGTGCTACTTGGAACTTTTTTTTGTTCCGGGTAGCTGGATCTAAAACAACAACAGCTCATTGTCGCAAGTTACATCTTGGTAGGGTCTCGTAGTACACTTGGTCTCGTGTAGGCTTTTATTTCGATGTTCATTCAATCATTCATTTGTTCATTCAAGTATAAAATATATCCCCCACCCCCAATATGTACTCCATAGATGTACTGGCCTATATATGTACTCTTCGAGATGTACTCACTTATATGTACTCCATTAATTCGACTTGCCTGAAAGTACTCCCCCCCTAGATGTACTCGTCTAGGTGTACTCACCTACACGTACTCCCCAAAATGTGCTTGCAAGGTTAAACTAGTATCAGTTTAATACAATAACTTTGTTGTCTTGTTTTTAGTATCATACATATAAAGTTGTGTATTAAATAGCTTCTATCACTTTTTTGTCAAAAGCATTGCATTTGCTAGCTACGTTTACACTGGTGGGGAGTTCTTTTTTAATTTTTACGTAACTCCTGTCCCAGGTTTTCAACTATGGTCCTCCTCCTTCTAATATGATTCTTCTAATATGATCCCTTCATTTTGAGCATTTTCTTTTGTCAGCTGTGTTAATACCCTTCGGAATTTTAGATGTCGTCATCATGTTACCTCTATTTCTTCTCTTCCGTAAAGGTAGTGAGGTTCAGTTCTGGTGTGGTCTTGAGGGTTTGCTAATACTCAGGGGCCAGATTCACGAAAGCACTTACGCAAACACTTACGAACATATACAACTTTTCTCAATCTTTGGCGGCTTTGTTTCCAATTATTAAACAGTTAATGACCTCCAAAGCACCAGGAGGCTGTTTATAACAATAACAACAGTTGAATGAGCAGTTTTCATGCTTGTAAACTGTTTAATAAATGTAACCAAAGCCGTCATAGATTGAGGAAAGATGTACACGTTCGTAAGTACTTGCGTAACTGCTTCGTGAATCTGGCCCCAGATTCCCGACTCCCACTGTCTGAAACTCACACATCCTGACTCCCACATACTCACACTTCCAACACCCCCCCCCCACACTCCCTCTCATACTCCCTTCACCTCTCAAATTCCCTCATACTCACACACCTCTCGCCATTACCCTTATGCCACTGCCTTCCAAATACCCTCATCTTCTATCACCCTCCCCCCCTCATTCCCCTCCCACATCTATCCACATGATATCAGTCAACATATATCGGTGGGGTAACGATTGCGCTATCTTGGAGCAGACATCTGATGAATCTCCGCTGTTATCGTGGCACTGATAACTCGACGTTTACCGCCTTTTGTCCTGTCAATGATCTCAAGTAATGGGGAGAGAGTTTTCAGGAGACCGGAAACACTGCCAAGGTGATCATGCTGAGTGGCAACCGTGGGACTCGGTTGATCATTGGTACGAATGGTTGGGCACCATTCCTTTCCCCCGTCCCATCCCAATGGGACGTACCGTGGGATGTACGACGGCATATTCCTGAGGCCTCCTAATACCACTTAATTGATTAGTCACAAACACTAATCTGAATCTATAGATTAGTGTCTGTGTTGTCTGTTTTTGTCTGTCTGTTCAAGGTTGGAAGCCAGACACTTGGGACTAGCTTCATTAACTTTGCACTGTGATTGCTTTGAGGTATGCACCCTACATGAGCGTGTCGGGGATGCTTTAAGTGAAACCTTAAAGTGCCCCTTAACACGGTCCCAACTAAAATCCTACGACCGTTTTGGCATATAATAATAACACAGTATTAATTTTGCATGGTTTTGTATATTTGTTCTGTTTTTTTGTATGTAATATAAAATATTTTGCACTCATGTTCGCAAAATTATTAAAAAATTCTAACTATTTTACTTTACACTTAAACTCGCATAACATACACGTATAAAATATGTATGTACTTTACATACGTATATAGATTAACTAAACTACAACAAGTTGTAGTGGGGGGATAGCTAGTAGGTGGCTGTGAGATACCCCCCCCCCTCCACTAGCCACGCTCACCCAATCGTTCTCTTAATCGTTCAATACCTGCTCCTGGGTAGTGGGAGAATGCGTTGCCGGGGGTGGAAGTTTCGAATCCTTAAGGGGATTATTCGGTGTTCTGTTGAAAAACTGATGCATGGGACCATTCAAGCTTTACACATAATGTTAAGTATGATACCAGCATGCTCAAGTAATTGATGAAATAATGGTGCCCATTTTTTTATGAGTGTAACATGGTGTTGCATGCATGGAAGTCTAATTAACGACCTTCCAACACTTATAATGCTATCGTTGGTTGAGTGAACATAGTAATGAACTTATACCGTGTCAGCTTTTGTTCGAATCTTTAGAGGATTCATTTGGAGTTCCAAGCAACAGTCTATTGAACCAAGTTGCCACTAGTCGAGGCTGGCCCTAGAAGAAATCCAGGAACACTCTCCTGATATGGTGTGTGTGTGTGTGTGTGTGTGTGTGTGTGTGTGTGTGTGTGTGTGTGTGTGTGTGTGTGTACTCACCTATTTGTGTATTTGTGCTTGCGGGGGTTGAGCTTTGGCTCTTTGGTCCCGCCTCTCAACTGTCAATCAACTGGTGTACAGATTCCTGAGCCTACTGGGCTCTATCATCATATCTACATTTTAAACTGTGTATGGAGTCACCCTCCACCACATCACTGCTCACACACATCACTGTGTGTGTGTGTGTGTGTGTGTGTGTGTAGACATCTCTCTCTCTCTATTGACTGCACACATCAGTTGATCTATCAATATCTCTCTCTTCGCTTAGTGACCAATCTTTGCAACCCATCACATGTTCTATTTCATTATTTCCTGGGCTGGACGGTAGAGCGACGGTTTCATGCAGGTCGGCGCTCAATCCCCGACCGTCTAAGTGGTCAGGCACCGTTCCTTTCCCCTGTCCTATCCCAAATCCTTATCCTGATCCCTTCCAAGTGCTATATAGTCGTAACGTGTTTTTGCCGCTTTTTTCCCCTGATAATTTCCCTCCTTTACCCTAATGAAATGTTCTATTTTAGTAAATATTTGATCGAAGGGATGGGGATTAACCCTCAGTTGTTCAAATCATCCCCACAGCACCTCTTCACCCCCCTAATCCCCTGCTTCCCCACCCTCCACCCACTCCACCTCATCATCCGCACATATCCCCCCCAAACCCCCATTTTTACACCTAGCCCTTACATCAAGACCAATAAAACCCTTCTAATGGGGGGAAAAAAGGGGTTGGCATAATGAGCTGGGCAAGGACTGTGTTGCCAATTGCTCGCTGGAGATATTACTATGCAAATTAAGGAGGCAGAAGCTACGCGACCGGCCAATCAGCGGGCTCAGTGATACGGTAACGACTGATGATGCTCGTCCTGAGACCGGGAGGCCTCAGTGTGTGGCGTGTTAATACGGTTAATCAAGTGTTTAGTTGGTTATGTTCCCATATTTCTGTTGTTTGACGGGCGT